TTTCCTATGTAGTAGGCAAAGCTGAGGCAATCATGTGAAAGGAATAGTTGACTACAACTCTGAATTGACAGGTGCATGCCATCACAAAAAAAGCACTGCCATACTAGCTTGGTATCACCCGCACTATTTGCCAATAAACCGTTCACTTCAGAGGAAATATTGGTTACTGTGATCCAACCAAACACATACCTACATCTGCAACTAATCCTTTTCATTGTGAATGAGGCTGGAGTTGAAGAACCTGCATGAGCAAAGTAGTGTGGAGTCAATAAACTGACTTGCTTTTTTCTTAAAGCAAATCTTGGTCAACCCAACAGAGCGTGTTATTTATGTGACTTGGTTTCAAACTCAATTGCAGATTGAAATACATGCACAATCAGGAATCTTGTACATAAAGTTCTCCTCTGAGAGAAGTCCATAAAATATTCAGGTGCTTCTGTATTCGTCGCCAATAATGAAACACCTACCAAGGGACCCATTTACATCAAGATTGCATAAAGGAATCACAGTAAGTACATCACCTTCCTTAAGTGAGTCTTACTGTATTTAACTTAATTTTCAAATTGCAATATTGCTTCAGATTGGTTTGATCCTCCTGAGATGTGCAGCATTCCTCAGGTGGGAGAGTGAGGAGCTATTCGCTGAAAAAAACCTCTGCAATGTTTGTTATGTAAATGGCCCAGAAAGACAAAGGTTTGTCTAAGTCTACAACTGAATAGCGCAGGAAAGTAAATGGGAGATGGTATCACAGCTTGAGCTTTAATTTTTTTTTATGGTTCACGAAACTTTGAGAGCCAATGTAAACATAATAATAGTAATAATAATAATAGTAATAATACTTGCATTCGATATAGGGCTTTATCACATTGTTGAGACGCTTCAAGTGCTTCACAAAACATATTGTAAAGTACTTTGATGTTGTAGGCAAAACGTAGCAGTCAATTGCGCACAGCAGTGTCCCACAAACAGTCGTGGGTTGAGTGAATGAAGAAAAAATTCTGACTTCATAACTAGTGACTTGATATCTAGTTTTTCTACGTGTATAAAACCTTTCGGTGACAATTTTACATGTTCAAATGGCCCATTCAAAAGAAAAGTCCATCCTGAAATCAGACAGATGAAACAACTAACAAAACTAATGGAGAGCCGTCAAATGAGATGTCCTCTCGCCTTCTCCCACTACCCCAATCAAGCCGAGGAATGTAACTGTGTGAGGAGCCAAAGGCACAAATTGAGCCTGACATTTCATTCTAGCAGCCTACCACCCCACCATTCTGCGATGTTTCCATTTTCAAGTGCAAACTCCCCAGCATTTAGGCAAATGTTTTTGCAGATGCGCTCAGATGGTGTTCTGCTTATAGTAAGCGTTTGTACCTGCAGAGACAATATTCACTTGTTAATTGCATCCTGGACATTCAATAAGTTTCAGGAACATTAGAGAAACTGACGCATAAAAGAACACAAGATGATGATTAATGCCAAATAAATTGCAGTTGCACAAAAGGTACGATAACTACATGGTGCACTTTCTGGAGGCTTGGTTCATTCAGTTGTTTGTGATGATTGCTGCATTAAATGTCAAGGGATTCAAAAAAACAATGAAAAAAAACCCTCATACATTACAACTAGCAATACAAATTAATCCTTTCCATAAGATTAATACTACTTTTTTGCAACTATAGAGAGGAAAACATTATCACATTTTTTTTGTGCAAGTCTTTCAAAATGTGACACCGTTTCAACCAGAATTTAATGAGTACTGTAATTATATATTTATTGAGAATTAATGTAAAAATAGAACATTTAAATGTAATTCTCCATCATGTATCTAAACAGTTAATTGTCTGAAGAGTGCTTGGGACAATTGCTGCAAATACTTATAGTCTTCCAAGGCATTTAACAAAACAACCATATGATTAATGCTTCAGAATCCTTCATGTCAACTTCTAGCCACAAAATAAAACCATGGGCAATTTTTACAGATCTATTGATGTTCAAAAGAAGAGAGGAAAATTAGGGGGGGAAAGTCTGAACACAAAATCTCCATGGGAATTTGGTGAAGATCAGGATTAATTTTGTAACATCCAGAAAATTCAAGAAAACAAGCCAGATACTATACTAATAAAACAGCTGCTTTATTGATGAATACAATTGCTGATGTAGTAGAGCCGACAATCCACAGTAATTGTAATTCTAATAAGCCTTACATTTGGCATAGTACATTTCACATTAGTAGGACATCACAAAGCACTTCACAGAATATATTGTAACAAACAACATCAAAATTACATTTGTGTAGCACCTTTTAGGTTGGGAGGACGTCCCAAGGCCCTGGACAATCAGTGTTTCGGACCCGAGCTGGAGGTCGGGATCGGGGAGGGTGGAGGTTAAGGGGGGGATGGAGTGTGACCGAAGGAATGCGTGTATGAGGGTTTCGGTGGCCTGCGGTGTGAGACAGTAGTGGCGCCGGGTGATGTTGCGTAGGTGGGGGAAGGCAGAGTGGGTCATGGCATGGATGTGGGGTAGAAAGGATAGTTGAGGATCAAACAAGACACCAAGGTGGGAAACCTGAAGCAGTTCGGAGCCCGCTGAGCGGAGGGAGTGGGCAGGTTGGTAGGGAGTTAGAAGGTTGCAGAGGTAGTGGGGAACAAGGCCATGGAGAGCTTTGAAGGTGAGGACCAGGAACTAGAGTGTAATGATTGTGTTTGTGGGTGACAAACCTTGCCAAGCCCTCATCTTTTTCTATTAATGTTTGTATTGTTTCCCCAGTAATTGTTTGCACACATTTGAATTCACAAATCAGAATACCTACAGTCCTGGAAACTAAAGCATGTGCACTATATGGAGCACCAAAAATAAATCAATTCATTTTTTTTATATAAACCAAATTAGGGAGAAATGCAGGGTTTCTTTGGTAAAAAAATCAGTAGAACCTGATCTAAACGATCTGTATTGACACCAAAACTAATGTATTTCAGTACCAGTGGTTTATATCATAATGCTTGCACTCAATGCTCTTTATGGCTGGTTTGCTCATGAATAACACCAAAACAACAACAACACATTGCATTTCTCTGAATTGCTTCAAGATTCAGAGCATCCAAACAGGATGATCTCACAGTGATTCAGACACACTGAAGCTAAAGGCACTTGAGCTCAGGAAATCAGTATCCAAAACATGCAGTTGAGATATCCTTTAGGATTTTTTACAGCATCAATTCAAGTCTTTTGGCAACTCTTCCTTGCGCTTTTCTGAAAACGCTTACTCTTTCTGTAACGTCTCCAATGCCATCAGAGACTTAACTCACCAATTAAAATTTGACATTTGACTCACTGTCCGAGGTAAACCTACCAAACTGCTTCACAGAGGAGATTTACTCTCAAATTGTTTTAACTGTATCCAGTTAAAAAAGCTAGGAGGTACAGTATTAGCAGTCATTGCCATCGACTTCAAGATTGTCACTCTTGTGTTCAAATCCATTCAATCTCTGACATGTCCCTACCTCTCTGACCTTCTCACTCCCCAATCCACAACCGGGCGCATACGCTCGATTGGCAATGGCCTCCCGCTCGTCCCTCGCATCCTCCTCCCCACCATCGGAGGTCTTGCTTTCAGCCACTACCCCCCAAAACTCTGGAACACTCTCCCTCAGTCCCTCCGTCTTGCCCCCTCTCTCCCCTCTTTTTAGTCCCGCCTGAAAACTTTCCTCTTCGACCATGCTTATGGCCACCTCCCCACCCGGCACGGAGTCAGGCTCTGCCACTGTTAAAGCGCTCTGGAACACTACCCTGCGTGGAGGGCGCTATATAAGTGCCAATTGTTGTTGCCTGGATGTTGTTTTGGTCAAACTGTATTCTACATTGTCTGGAACTACTGTATATCATTTATTACCCACCTGATGATACAGGGCAGTAGAGGGAAATACATGCATCTGAACCAAATATTAAACTTATGCAAGTCAACAGTTCATTCGAAGACTCTAATTAGCACTGTTGATGTTTACTGCTCTTACTGACCAGCTCTGTTCTGTCATAACTCTGATAAGTATTGCTTTAAATAGTCACAAAGCTGCAGTTTCATCTCAATGTGATGACCTGTTCACCTCAAAAGTAACACAATCCTGTAATTGAATAAGGATTTGTACTGTAAAATACAGCTACATATTTGTGGTAATTAATTAATCAACGGTAATTAAACTCGTATAAAAGGCGCCTGCATTATGTTAACAGTAGGATTCAGTAAAAGTGCACACTTTACCTCTATGAATTAAATATTAAAGTAACTTATTTTATCCAATTACTATATAATGGAAACACATGCTCTTGCATTTCACTTATTATGCTCATTATGCTAAAACAGAAACATACTGTCTTTCAAAACAATGCTTATATAATACTGTTGCTGCAGTCAATAATTTCCTTCTTTGCAATGTGGTCACACCGTTTCACTTCACTGGCTTCCTTATAAACTGATGTCTTATCTACTCATACCACTATGTTCTCACCTGCAACAGGTTTGCCACTCTCTGTGCCCCATTCCATCATTCATTTGTTCACGATTAAGAGCCAGGCTGTTGTTACTCTCTCAATCTCCTTATCAAATTCTTTACGATGATTTGAATTTCATTAGCAAACAAATTTGCAGGAGGTTCACAGGCCCCAAGTGAATGTGATCTCTAACCTTGGAGACACCGAGCTATTAAGATAAAGTGGACAGGACACGCTCCTTAACTTTTCCCGTTCCTGTCTCTGTAGTGTGTCCACCAACCACATTAAATAATCCCTTAAAAAAAAAACTGATAATAATAATAATTTGGTCACTCAATCCATGACTGTTTGTGGCACACTGCTGTGCACAATTGGATACCGCGTTTTACCCACAAAATATACAGTCAATTCACTTTATAGTATATTCCGTGAAACAGTTTGAGATGTCTCGAAGATGTGTTAAGAAGCTATGTCAAATGCAAGGATTATTATTATGATCTGTGTGTGTTGAGAAAGATCAGTTATTGTTGGTGCTTACAGCCTTGCACAGATGCTCCCCATGGATGCATTGAGTACCTGTAGCAATTGCTGTGCTGGAAAAAGTTGTTTGCAGAGTTTGGGTCCTTGATGATATTTTTCTCTTCTGTGGCAGCATTGTGTTTGACAATGTGCCACTTCACAGACAGTGCAAATTGTTTCTTTCAGCCTTTAATCAACTTGGAGCTGAAATGGCACTAAAGTCAAGCATTTTCAATGGGTGCTGTCAGGATGAGGGTACCACTAAAAAAAAATTGCTTATGGCCTTGAATGCTGAACTCAACTACATTTCAAAAAACTATTCCAAACTGCACATATTCAGTTTAAGTGCCTCTCGCAAAGTCTTTAGAAGCCAGTTTTTCTCAGATTGACAATACTGTCCTCTCCTGCACCAAACTCCGTGACCCCATCTCCCCCATTCTCACCCGACTCCACTGGCTCTCTATCATTCAGTGATCCAGTTAAAAATCCTGGTTCTCACCTACAAAGCCCTCAATGAACTCGCCCCACCCTATCTCTGTGACCTCCTACCCCCCTACCAAACCGCCCGCTCTCTCTGCTCAGCCGGCTCTGGCCTGCTCCACATCCCCGCCCCACCCACCCACCATTGGCGGGAGAGCCTTCAGCCACTCTGCCCCCACCCTCTGGAACTCCATCCCCCAATCACTCCACCTCACCCCCTCCTTAGCCTCCTTCAAGTCCTGCCTCAAAACCCTCCTCTTCGACCATGCCATCGGTCACCCCCCCCTTTCCCTCCCCTCTCTTCTCCCCTCTGACCCCAGCTCAGGTCTGAAATGCTGTACACTGTCTAGCGCCTTGGGATGTCCTCTCGACGTGAAAAGCGCTATACAAATGTAATCTTGTTGTTCTAAACTTTACAAAAGTATTTCTTCTGGCTTACCTTACAATGGCCATATAACTAAAGCGATCACTTTTATTTTGTTGGGTGAACATCCAAAACACTGCACTGCTGCTGTGGGTTCATGATTGGAAACTGGTTGCCTCTTGAGAACTCGTTAAGAATGATCCACAAATTTCCTGTCCATTAAAAATGCTGGTGCACTTATAGCAATAATTAGCAACATTTATGGCACAGCATAAATGATTCTGCTATGTTGATTCGCTACCAACAACAACAAATTACATTTATATAGCACCTTTCACGTTGGGAGGACATCCCAAGGTGCTGAACTACCAACTCCCCTTAATGATTTGTCCTTTTCCTGAATTTTCCTTTCAAATTATTGGATCTTAGGGAATCCCTTTCTTGGTTAATTGTCTTTCCCTCCCTTGGTTTAATGTCCAGTCCTTTTCCAGTCATTCCATCAGAATTGAACAGGGAGGTGCGCATTGATGTCTTGGTATCTCGTCAACTACTATTTCTACTAACCGTTTGAAGGTTACTTCAACCTTACACGATTAGTTCGTACTCCAGCAGACAATGAGTTTTGTTTCGCCCACAAAATATACAGTCAATTCACTTTACAGTATATTCTGTGAAGCGCTTTGAGACGTCTAGAATTCGTGATAATGGACTCCATCAAATGTAAGGATTATTATTGTTATATCCCTCATCTGTGTTTTATTTGGAAGCTGCTAAATATCAGGAACAGAAAGTCAGCACACAACAAATGATTCTAGTCACAAGGTTAGGACCTCAGAAACTTTATGCTGGGCTGCTTACTGAAATGTAACACACTTATTTTACACGATTAATTCTGCTCCGTACATTGTATTTACATGACTTCTGTCTATGATTTCCTTCTGAGCAATTCCCTGCTTTACGCAGGAGATGGCACTGTAGTTAATCCAGTGTGTTTGCCATTTATTATTCAGAGCAGACACTCAACCAGCAATCTCTGAACACTTTCCATTTCACCCTGAGTAGGACATAGTGGGCTATACTGAACAGTGGAACAGACATAACAAACCCTTACACACACATTCGGTCTGGATGGCAATAGCCACCTAATCTACCTGACTTGCAATTGCTTTCTTTGTGTGTGTGTGTGTGGGGGGGAGCAGGGGGTTAGGAAGCAGAATTCCTCTGACATTGTCTGGTAAGATTTAAACAGAAGGCATTTGAAAACTTTGCTGGGAAGGAAGGCTGTGCTTGCCATTTGTGATGAGCAACTTTTGTTGGAGCAACTGGCCTCTGAGATGCTCAGGATTTCAGGGACACTGTGAACAAGAAGAGATGCTGTCCTGCCCACCCCTCTCAGTTCAGGCTAATAATAACCAGGAGGAGGAATAACAGTAAAGACTTAAACGTTCACAAAAAAAAGACACTGAGATCACGTGGTGAGCGTTTAAGGCTCAAAAACACTCAAGTCTTGGTCCATCGCACAAACGGATCTCCAACCTGGCCAACATGTCCCTGAGGTAGGATCCCAAATTATCCCAGGGAGAAGGTGGCAAACCGAGAAGAAATCTGCACGGGTTATATGGTGGGCAAGTAAGTGACTGGGCATTTGAAAGGGGAACTTTCCTGCCTGGACTTTGAAGTGCCTGCCCTGACCCGAGGATGAGCCGAACCCCCCTCCTGAGAGCTCTGGCTGTGATGTGCTGCTGCTCGGTGGGGAAACCACAGGTAAAGTAAAGACTCGCTTAAAGTTGCTCTAAACTATTCGGGGACAAAACTGGGAGGTGGGGGTTGGGGATGGGGGGCATCAGATCGAATACCAGCCGAGCAGAGCAGCCACTTACGCTGAGATTTATTTGAGACATAACTGTTGCATGATTCAAGTAAAACCAAAGAGCCATTGGATTGCTGGCTTTAAATTCCTGTGTTTTTTTTTAATGTAACGTTGTCAAAGATCTCAGTGTTTAGCCCCGACAATTAGACGTTGTGAACGCCTTTTTTTGGATGTTAATCTTTAATTCTAGTCATGAAAGAGGATTGATCCTAAGTTTTCACAGTCTGTTCGTTACTTGATAGAAACATACACTGAAAAAAAAGAATTAGGGGTCGTCGATGGGATGGATATTGCCATCCTTTAATTAATTGATCCTTTAATTAATTAATGTGCAAACGCATGGAGAGATGGAAGCCTAATTAATTAATGGTGGGTGCGGATTTTCAAACACTCTTAAATTGTAGTTTGCAATTGTACCTTTCAAACTTTCCCCTTAAAATCATCGGTCTTATCACTTAAGATATTGTGTATAATTATCTATAGTACATATCAGTATATATATTATATATGTTATTAAACCAGTGTGGTTATGCAAAGTAAAAAAAAAATCAAATGTTTGTAAATGTAAATGTAAGCAGCATGAACAAAAATCTGAACTGAATGAAAGTTTTTTTTTCAGGGAAACAGAAAAATATTCCTCCAGTTGTTAATCTCAGCAAGACATTCTTAACCTCTGAAACCTCACAAACAAAATCATTTCATTATGGTTTTGTCCCATGAAAGGGTGGGGGGAGGAAAGAGAATCACTGTACAATACATAGTTGTACTGGGAGAACAAGTCAGTTACCTATTAATTCAAGGTCAGAGATGATGTTGACTTGATTAAGTTGAACATATTCACAGGAATGCTGGATTCATTGTACATCGGGGGATCTTGTAAAATAGTGACATTCTCGCAGGTTTTATCATTGTAATTCACGAACAATCAAGTATCCATGATTTTAAATTCCCACATGAAAATGTCCACATACTTGAGCACACACACAAAAGTATATGTTTGATGCGGTGCTTTGTTTTCAGATTTAAGACTGTTTTATATATAACGAATCAATGACGTGGTTTGATCACAGCTTTACTATACCTTAATCACTTGAGCAAAATTAATGTTTCATATTTTCTCCCTGGGTCTCTGCTAACACAACCTTCGCAAATACATTTGGCTTCTATTTTGTAGAAATGTTTTGTAAAATATGCAAACACATGCTTAGAGAGGAAAACCTTTAACTCTAGTTAAAAGTTTCCATCTGAAACAAATGCACAGATGCACAGTTACTCTCTGTACAGCGTGCTTGAAAATGCAAGGATTATTATTATTATTATAATCTCCAAAGCTACCCTCACCAGGGATTTCTATAGTTGTTAATAATAATTAGTCTTGCATTTGATTTAGCGTTTTACAACAACAACAACTTGCATTTATATAGCGCCCTTCATACGGGGCAGCGTCTCAGAGAAATTTATCACATCAACGAGACATTTCAAAATGTTTCGCGGGATATTCTGTAATGTGATGTGACTGTATTTCTAGGAAACACTACCCAGCATGAAGGGCGCTGTGCAAATGTAAGTATTTTGTGACGGTTCCCCAAAAATGCTGAATGCCTGAGTCTCACCTGGGTATCAACCCCTATTAGAATCACCATTGGGTTATACTAGTCATTAATGCACTATTTTTTTCTTCCAGTTTTAAGTTGACATTTTTCTCTCCATTTTTTCCCATCTTAAACAATAATAATGAATAAATATATTAATAAGAAATATAAATGTATACATGAGTGAGGTACCAGGGGAGGTGAAGGAGAGGGGATAGAACGAGGAGAGGTGGAGGCTCATGTGGAGAATAAACACCGGCATGGCCAAGTTGGGCTGAATCGCTTGTTTGGATCCCCAGATTCTATGTAATTCCATGATGGCACAGAGCAGCTCATCGCACTCCATCTGTATCTCCCACTCATGTGGACAGATTGCCATAAGCAGGCAGCAAACACAGGGCACACATTTCAGAACCCCCTTCTGTTCCTGGGGGAGGATTTGTGGGAACTTAGAGAAAAAACAAGGTGGTGAAGAGGATGTAAGCAGAAAGCAGTAGGAAAGGTGCCCCGTTATCGTCATCAGATGTAAGTCTGAGTCTAAAAGTGAATCCTGAACAAAGTTAATATCACAGTAAGCAAGATAAATGCAGATCATTTTAGAATGTGTTGGTTTCCGAATTATCACTCAGTTGGCAATAGCAGTTTCACACAAAGCTTTGTGCCCTGTTTATTTATGAATATAGCAGACTTGTGCAAATTAATATTTTCAAATTGCTTGTTGGCAAACAGCGTGCCATAAAATAGAGGGCATATCATCAGAAACATATGCTGTTCCCTGATACCTTCTATTAATAGAGAAAATTAGATTTTGTGAAAAATTACTGGTAGCATTATGACAAAAACATCTTTGCGCTAAAATGTTTCCATTTACAGTATGTTACTGTGATACTTAGGGAATTCATTTGAGCGTATTGCACTGTGCGCAGAGTGTACAGAAACATATCATTCATGGTTGGGCCGTTAGCTCAGTCAGTTTGATACTTTCAATCGGAGTCCTGTAGCTTAGTGGTTAGAGTACTCGGCTCGCAAGAGAGAGGACCTGGGTTTGATTCCCGGGCAGGGCAACATATTGGGCAAGTTTCCTTACTCCACACGCCTTTGTTCACCTGGCAGTAGATAGGAACCTGGTTATTAGTCGATTGGTGGATTGCTTTTCTGAAGGTAATCCTTCAAAAAAAATACAAAAATAATTATTTGGTCACTCAATTCACGACTGTTTGTGGGACACTGCTGTGCGCAATTGGTTGCCACGTTTCTTGCACAAAATATACAGTCAATTCACTTTACAGTATAATCTGTGAAGCGCTTTGAGACGCCTTGAGGCATGATAAGGTGCTATATCAAATGCAAGGATTATTATCTGAGCTTTAAATGAATTAAACTGCGGGGGCTTTAATACTCTGGGTTCATCCATTGCTGCTCAGAACAGAGCTGAATGTTACTTTGGAGAGTTTTATAATTGTAGTTTAAGAATGGGATGTTCTTGGTTATTAATTTAACAGCAATCAGGGAGGTATTGTGAATGACATTAAGAGACTATGGCTATGGCAGCACGTTATATAAATAAAAATGGGAGGTTCTGACCCTCTCTGAGCTTGAGCTGCTCATTACAGTGTGTTAAGATTAACATACTGTAATGAGCAATAATGATTTTTTTTATCATTACTGCCTCCACAAACACATCCAATGCCTCTGCTGAAATCCAGCTTTGGAACATCTTTAACCTCCCTGAAAGCTTTGGTTACCAATAATTCCACATCACAGCTAGATTCACAGATGTGTTACTTTTCTATTAAATGCATTAAGAGTGAGAGAGAGAAAAAAAATTGACCGAGTAAAAATCCCCATTATTCCAAGTTCCTTCATGATTGGGTGCAATGGTTTTATGAACACTAACAAAATCCCATTTCTCATCGAGGGTGTGCAGGAATGCTGGGTGTTGGTATAATCTATGTTTTTTTTATTCCATTTGGAATGATTGTTAAATGGACTTTATGTACTTCGCCCAGTTAAAGCTATTCTTGCAATTCTTCATTCATAGAAATACATTAGTTCTCAAGGGTTTTTGCTGATTTTTCTGCCAAATTCTACAAACAGCCAATTTGCAAACCACATGCTTCAATGGTTTGCAAATGATGAGTGGCCAGGGATGGGTGGAGGTGAACAGCTTGTTTCCTCCAATAACAGGTATCATCATCCATGAGAAACAGCTTGGTGCCGTGATGGGAGGACGGTTGTGTGAATGTTGCAGAATGATAAGATCAAGTGAGATCTCCATCCAAACATCTCTGGAGATCACTCCCCATAAAACCTTTTTTAAAAAAAAGTTTCAACATCCCGATCCCCCAAAACTACACTCAATAGAAAACACTTCTAACTTCGACTTTTGTTTTCCCTTTAAGATAATGCTCTGCTGCATTGCATCTGTGAACTGTTTCCTCGCTGGGCACACTGGCCACACATCCGGACAGTACACCACAGCTTTGTAACATTGACAAGTCTTGCTGACCTCGTGAAAAGATCTTCTTTCTGCATGCCAAAAAGAACAGTTCTGTATAGGATCCAAATCATTACTTCTGATGCATTCCTTATTTGGATTTTGACACCTGTGATGTAGAGTAACTAGGGGTCTGTAACCTCCCCTTCCCCCACTCCAACAGTAGAATATTGTATATTCTACTTTAGATGAGAAGGCACAGGGAAAGGATGGTGGAAATGATCTCCTCAGGGAGTCTGGTGCTGTTTCAGGGTGATATACACCTGACAGGTAGTGGCTATGAATTGGTCTCTGTAATAAAAAGACATCTGACTGCACTTGAGATGAACAGTGATGCTAACAGAGACCAGGAATCAAGTTTAACGCTGTAATCTCTGATTCAGATTCAGATCATATTCACAAACTACTCTTGCAATTTACAAAACCAATTCAATCACCTCAGTCAGATTACAGCCTTGTAATTCACACCTATTTTTTGTTCCTCATTTATGTAATGCAAGTTATCTAAATTGTTTGTAGTTCAAATAATAATAATTCAAAAAATAAATGAAGTAGTTCAAATTCAAGTTTCCTTACTCCACAATCCTATTAATAATCCCTCCAAAACGAAACAATAATAAATTGGTCATTTTCAATCCACGACTGTTTGTGGGACTCTGCTGTGTGCAATTGGCTGCTGCATTTCGCCCACAAATATATGGTCAATTCACTTTACAGTCTATTCTGTGAAGCACTTTGAAATGTCGAGAAGACGTGAAAAGCGCTATATCAAATGCAAAGATTATTCATTATTATATTATTGCTATTCAAGTGTTGTGTCAAGAACCTGTCTCAAGACCCTCTTCTTCGACCGTGCCTTCGGTCACCCTCTTACCCCTCCCCTTCCCACCTTCCACCTCTCCTGACCCCAACCACCAGCTCGGGTGCGCATCCCCGACTGTCCAGTGCCTTAGGACATCCTTCTGAAGTGAGAGGCGCTACACAAAAGTAATTTGTTGTTGTTGATGTGTTTTTTTCCCAGGTTGACTCTGATGATGTTGTCACCAAAGAAGAGCAGATATACCTTCTTGTTGGGGCAAAAACAGATTGTGACCTAAACATATCTACCCAGCCTGAGGAAGGTACAGCTTCTTACGCCTTTGTTTCTTTACGTGATTCGCTTGACACTCCGCGGTTATACAGATGGTAATTGACTGAAGAAGCCTTTGGTAGTGCTACAGGGCCCCTTTCACATCTGAAGTAGTGTGTTGACAGAATGAGGATATGTTTCTCCTAAACTAAGAATTCATCCTTAGCAACGTTTGGCAGCCCCACTGGAACATGTCTTTGGTCGTCACATTGTTTTGTGTCAGATCTGTGCACTGACATCTCTTTCCTCTGCTTGCAATTGACACCCACTGCATTGTTTTGTTTGCCATATTTTACTTCTGCTTCAGTTCTGCAAGAGTTCTAACTGACATTGGTCGAACATTGTTTGAAATCCAATCATTGCCACTGAACTATTCGGTTCTTATTTTGCGGACCGGAATGAACTTAACTTACTCTAACAATAATATTGCAACAACTACACAATGCAACAGTCTATTTATGCTCATCACAATTCTGTGAGGTTTTCTCAAAACAGACGGATATTGACATCAAGAGCTGCTAAGGAATCTACGCTTGTAGCTTCCATCATTACAGCAATGACTGAAACTGCTCACCAGCTACACTGAAGATCACCAGTTATGGGCGATCACACACTACTACGTGGAGAACAAATTGACAGCCATTGCAATTGTGTTTTTGTTGGTCAGTTGGGTGTCAGACCATGCAGAAACCCATTGCAATGCTTAAGAGTATCCAAACCAACCTGACAGTTCCATGCATCCCACCTACAAATGGAAATTCCCATGTATTGAATTTACATTATTGATTGTTTATTTATTGTATTTACATTCTACATTTTCTCAATCTGACCTTTTTTTTAAGATGGATTTTGCACTGCGGAATGGGATGGATTAACGTGCTGGCCAAAAGGACCCCCAGGAGAGGTAACTGCGGTTCTGTGTCCAAGTTACATTTATGACTTTAATCATAAAGGTGAGTAAGCTCTGCTATGAAACATTGTCATTTTTACTTGCTCTTTGTTGCCAGGTTTATCATCTGCAGGCAGCATGTTTGATACCTCAGTGTTCTTGAATCCTTTCCAGGACTTGCCTATCGGAAGTGTGATGACAATGGGAACTGGGAGTACGTTGAAAGCCTAAATAGGACGTGGACTAATTACACTGAATGCATCACGTTCCTGCAACCCGACACCCACAGAGAAGTAAAATAAACAAAAAAACACTGCTACAGCATCCTCTTCCTGAGATTATAAGTCAGCGTTAATTACAACAGCAGTAATATGCATTGATATATCGGAATAGAATCTCGGAATGCTAATTAGTAAAGGAAACAAAGAGCACACGGCTCTCAACTTTAGTTAATGTTATTTCATTCCAATCATTTAAGTGCTATAAACTCATTCTTTTTCTTTGATTTACCAAAAACTCAGAGCCAGTCATTCCACTCAGTCGGACAGTGATCTGATTTCACAATTCTCTTTACATGCAATGTTCTCTTATTCAATAGGAATTCTTTGAACGATTGTATATAATGTACACTGTGGGGTACTCTGTGTCACTTGGCTCATTGACTGTAGCGATTCTGATCATAGGGTACTTCAAGTGAGTAGAAAAGTCTTTATTTTATGCATGTTGCAGCTGGCAAACCAAGTTAAGCATTGCATCCAATGTAGAGTTAAATCTTCAACTTTGGAAATAAGATTTACTGGAGAAACCCTTAAGTGTTTTTTCTATGAGATGAATTTGGGCAGTGCCTATCCACTTCCTAGTGGGCATGAGTTCCGAGCAAAATTCTGCTGGAAATGTGGGGCTTATTGACAATCTAAATGAGATTGTCACATGGACGAGTATTGTTCAAAATGGAAAATGTACATTGGTGCTTAAGGTTGGGTTACGTTACATTGCTGTGAAGGAGGCACTACCACTTTCTATCCAACCAAAGTTATTCCTCACCTGTGAGTGCTGTTTGCTGATATTAGCATATGCTGGGGTAAAATAATAACCCCCACAATACATATTTCTAAATCTACTTCTATAGTTCCTTTTTAGAAGCATAAAGGCTGGTTGCACACAATAAAAAAAGGAACATGGCAGTCAGTTCCCATCAAGTGCTTTGAGAGGTTTCAATGACATAGGGTGCCATACCAAACACAACAATTATTTGTTGTTATGTTAAGTGCTGTTGCTTGCATTCTACGTAGCTTAAACATATGGCTGTAGCTTGCTGAGATGCAGAAGTGGTACATATAATAGCACGCAAGGATTATTACACTTACAATTGTGGCTGGGCACTGGAGTGGACGGTGGGAGCTGAAGGGAAGGGGAGTGAGGAGGTGAAAGATGACCAAATGCATGATGAAAGAGGTACATTTTGAGATGTACCTTGAAAGAGAGGCAGGAGGCTCCTGGCCATGGTTCATTGATAAAACAATAATAGTTGTTAAACCATTCCAAAAATTGGTAAAGCGCTGACACAGGTTCCCCTTTCCATCTACAGAAGGCTCCATTGCACCCGGAACTACATCCACATGCACCTGTTTGTCTCCTTCATGCTCAGAGCCATCAGTATTTTTGTCAAGGACAAAGTGGTACATTTTAATTTGGAAACCCAGGACAGTGACTCTCTTTCAGTGGAGGATCTGAAAACTATGACAGGCACCCTGTTGACCGATAAATCTCATTATGTAAGTACATGTGTTTGGATTCTGTCGCTTATGTACTTGATGCACAAAAAATGTCATGAAATATCAAAGCTGGATATTTCGGGAGATTTTTGAATAAAGCGGATTCATATATGACTATCAATATGCATGTTTACCCACGAGCAATAAGCATAAAGCAGAGATGACCTCTACTGCAGTGCTGCGCCTCAGTTAAAATGTAGCATTCTGCACAATTAATAATAGGGATGATATTTTATTTAAGTGATCTTTTGATCTATGACATAAAAAACAGGACATCAAATGAGTTTTCCAGATTGCAGGGTTGTTTTTTTTAAATTGACGTGAAAACAGTTTTCATTTAGAACGCATTTAGATGCTATACTTTAGTTGAACCCTTGCAAAACGGATGGAAGGAATAAAATAGAAAACTTGATGCAAAAGTAATTTGCAGTTTTTCAGATGGAAAAAATATTGACATTTTGCAAGATGTGTTCAGTTTGTATTTGAAACCTTTATTTGAAAAAGAATGCAACTCCTATTCTGAGATATAATAGTAATAATCTTTACATTTGATATAGCGCTTGGCTGGTTGGGAGGCTATCTCAAAGCGTTTCACAGGATTTACCATAAAGTGACTGTTTATTTTGTACACAAACAGCCAAGAAGTTGATGACCAATTTTATCAGGGGGATTGTTAGCCATCAGTGAACTGATTTCAGGCAGTGTAACAGATTGGATGCTTACAATTGGCCTCAGCACCCCTTAGGTGCAAAAAGAATACAAAAAACGGCTTGAATTACTGCCACTGATGGTTGATGTTGGGCGAGGACAGAATATGCTTGGCTGCACTTCCTTCAGTCGTCGAATGCCATGCCAACACTCACTATCAATGCTCTTACATGAATAATGGGTGGGGTGTCTGGAGGTGCCTGGTGTCTATTATACTTTATCTCAACTGCAGGAGCAATTAGTGAAATGTCTTCAGATAGGGAGGGGACACAATATAAAAAATATATCCGAAAGAAAAGTGTTACAGGAATAAATTTACATTAGCCTGCTTCATGTCCCTCATCCACTTCATACCGCTATCAATGAGTTACCACACACCCCACTCCTCCCAGGCTCTGGAATTCTTTCCTCTGCCTTCCCCGTCCCCTTCCACCTTCAAAACCTGTCCAAAGACCTATCTCTTCGACCATGTTTTCGGCCACCTTTCCCCTCCTTCCTAACTCCCTCTCTCCAACTACCACTAGCCTCTGGTTCCCTTCCCACTCAGCTCTTTGGAGACATCCTCCTGACAGGAAAGGTACGATACAAATGTAAATTGTTGTTGTTGATCTGCGTCAGGTCACACATTTAAGGAAAGGGGGAGCAGTCAATTAATTAGAAAACCTGAGTTGTTTCACGCCATAATGGCCTCTGAAGTACATTGAATCATTGACAACAATAAATCATTTACTTCAATGTTGACCAAGTGCAGTAACTCAGGGGAGAGGGGAATCCCATTGGGATCAGCAATTGGCAGTCAAAGATACACTAACACATAGAAATAAATGGATTATTCATCTATTTTGTGTTGGGGATAAATTAAACAGAGACCGTTTACAGCAACTCACAAAGTGAGCATTTAAATCACGTAGCACACTGTTATTTGTAGCTACTCATTAGGAAAACCTGAGGTCTTATTCAAACTGTTACCTCAATAATCAAATACCTTCAGAAACTAACCAAGTGGAATCTTTCTAACACCATTAAATGTTTTGAAATGCAAATATCAAATGCAAGGATTATTAATGGTACACAAAATTACATCTCTGGGTTTCCAATCATCATTCAGAAGTGGTCTTTGTAATTTACTGAGCAAAGCATTAATAAAGACAGCCCCTAATATATCAATAAAATAGTCTGATGGTTACTTGTCAATGGTACAGGTATGTTCCAAGTGATAGACGGTGTATATAGTATTAAAAAAATGATTGCGTTTGTTAGGTGAATGAACTTGGCAGCCAATTTGCACTCAGAAATGTCTCACAAATATTCATGAAGTGAATTATTATTTTTTATCCAGGGAATCATTGGCCAAGACACCAGGAGAAACTCACTCCNTTTTTTGAATAGTTTCATGAGATCCTTAAATGTCCATCTAAAAGGCAACATCTCCAACAATATATCGCTTCCCCAGCACTGCAGTTGAGTGTCAGCCTGGACTATGAGTTCAAAGTGCTGATTTGTGAACGCACAAATTTATGACTAAAAGGCAAACATGCTATCACTTGAGCCAGGCTGACACCTCATTGATATTAAATTGCCAGATGCTTTACTGCTGAATTTGAGCTTGGGATGAAGCAATTTAAATTCTTTTATTTTAGGTCGTGGGTGATAAAATTATAGTATTGATGCTTCAACCACAAATAAAATGATGTTGGACCCTTCAGCTACTTTAACTAACCTTGGATGATTTTTGTTTGAAATTGGATCAGTTTTCTGACGTTGTCTAATTATTTATGAAGTCATTTGTCATAACAGCAATTGAGGCATAAACTCACCGGGGTAAAAGCAATTTCTAATGCAGTTATGTTTATTATGGAATAGGTGGGATGTAAGATTGCCGTCATGCTGTTTCTGTATTTCTTGGCCACAAACTACTACTGGATCCTTGTGGAAGGCCTTTACCTGCACTGTCTTATACTGATGGCTTTTCTCTCGGACAGAAAGTACCTGTGGGGTTTCACTCTAATAGGATGGGGTAAGGCAACAACAACAACCTGCACATATACAGTATCTTTCAAATAGGAAAACGTCTTCAAGTGTTTTGCAGAGATGGAGCCTGAGCAGAGGTGGAATATTTCATACTAGGAGGACGTCCCAAAGTGCTAAGGGGTTGGGGGGACTAGAAGATTGGAGGCACTAAAACTATCTCTTACAAATGTTGGCCATAAAACATCAAAAAGCAAGGGATCACCACTGGCTGATGTAGCTAGTTTTGTAAAATATACTGTACGTGAAAAATAATATGCATAATTTCCGTTAAGAATCTAAAGCTGACATAACAACAATGTCTTCCTGGCATCTGTTTTCTCTACGCCAATGAAATCCTAGATTCACACAAATGCCTCCAACAGCACACAATGTGCACATACTTCAAGATCATTTGCAGGATCATACCAGTTGGTACAAACTGATGGCTTTTGATTGTCATTTTTAAATCAGCTTCAAGACATATTCAGTTCAACATCATACTGACAATTTTAGTGAGGGTAATGGTTTCACATAATACTATAATAATAATCCTTGCATTTGATAGAGTGCCTTATTACAGCTTTAAACGTCTCAAAGCGCTTCACAGAATATACTGTAAAGTGAATTAACTGTATGTTTTGTGGATGAAATGTGGCAGCCAATTGCGCGCAGCAGTGTCCCACAAACAGTTGTGGATTAAGTGACCTATTTTATTATTTTTTATTTTTTAAAAATATTATAGATTGAAGGGGCTCAAGTTGAATAGGAACCTGCTGTTTATGCTTTGAGAACATATTAGACAATTACCGCAGACTCATACAAATGACTTCTGTTTCGATTCCAGGAGTTCCAGCAATCTTTCTGGTGGCTTGGGCCATTGTTAGAGCAAAGTTGGCTGATGAAAGGTGAGACAGATGGTATTCTATTATGGGTAACTATTTTAAAGCCTCCTGTTTTTTTGGTTTAAAAAAAAAGAGTATCTCTCAATAAGTTTCTAACAATTAGCCTACAAAATTAGCCTTGCACAAAGCAAGAAGTCCTCCTCAGTTAAAAAGCTTGACGTACATCCCGTTGCATTGGTGCCAAAAGAATATCAGGCCTGCCTGACTGCAGTGGCATTTTAGGCACATGTATCCTGTAGCTCAGCGGTTAGAGCACTCGCCTCGCAGGTGAGAGACCTGAGTTTGATTCCCGGCGGGGCGAAACCTTGGGCAAGTTTCCTTACTCCACACGCCTGATACTCATCCCTCAAGAAAAAAAACAATAATAAATTGGTCATTTTCAATCCACGACTGTTTGTGGGCCACCTCTGTGCGCAATCGGCTGCCGCGTTTCGCCCACAAATATGCAGTCAATTATGTATATTCTGCGAAGCGTTTTGACAGGTCTAGAAAATGTAAAAAGTGCTATATCAAATCCAAGGATTATTATTATTACAAAATACCCAGTAAATCCTGGGAAGCATTTTGAGATTTCCTTCTGAAGTGTGAAATAATAATAATAATCCTTGCATTTGATATAGCGCTTTTCACGTCTACTGGACGTCTCAAAGTGCTTCACAGAATATGCTGTAAAGTGAATTGACTGTATATTTGTGGGTGAAACCCGGCAGCCAATTGCGCACAGCAGTGTCCCACAAACAGTCGTGGCTTGAAAATGACCGATTTATTATTATTTTGTTTTGAAGAGATTATTATCAGGTGTGTGAAGTAAGGAAACTTGCCCAAGGTTTCGCCCCCTGCCTGGAATTGAACCCAGGTGTCTCGCTTGCAAGGCGAGTGCTCTAACCACTGAGCTACAGGACTCCAAAGGCAACGTGTTAAGTGTCAGGATTATTATTGTTAATATCTTATTGTAACAATTCTGTGTGCTGCTCTGGAAAGATTTGACTTTATACATTATTGCTTTCCTCCACTGAGGGCAACATTAGCTCCTCTTCTTACAATATGTGCACTTCAGAGCGCAAGTCACCTCTGGGGATACAAACTCTGTGCTGCTAGAAACTCACTCTTTTACAATGGCACCGTGTTCACAGTATGCCCCAACCATTAATATCTCAACCTTTGGACATGTCATGAGACTTAGTTTATGTTCATGCCCGGGCTTGAGTGCAAGGTAATAATCTGAGGTTACACTCCGTAGGAATACTTCAAAACACACAATTAGGATTTCCACGACCCGTGTTGATTATATGCCTCTTGTTCCTTTTGAATGTTACAACTAATCAAATGAACGCACTTACATATCGTTCTGAGCTTTAGCAAGTGACAGCGGTGGAAAGCAGCAATGGGGGAAGTCAAACCTTTCCAAAGAAGGAAACTGAATTGTTATAGTAAAATATGAATACTTTCGGAAAATCGGGTTTCAGCTGCCTGGAGCCAGAGTAGGTCAATCACAAGATCTGAACACTCTTCGGATTTTGTTCCCAAGGAATCCTGTCTTTGTCTTTTGCTCAGGCTCTATGTAGGCTTATGCTGGCAATTTGTAGCTTTTGCCATGTTATTATGTGTTATCATGTCTTCTTCATGTGTAGTTTTGCTTTTACTGCTCGTCCTGCTTTAGTTTTTAAACATGGCCAGATGATCCACGACTTCTTAGCTTTCATGCTTTATGTAGGCTTATCCTGGCCATTTGTATTTTTTAACATGTGATTTGGANTTTTTTTTATCTCCAGCATGTCTAGCTTACTACTTGCTACACTTTTTGTTTATCTACTTTAGCCTTTATACACTACTCTCCTTACAGACATATTGTCAGATCAATCTCGTCTGTTGCTTGGCTGTAAAATTTGCCCTTCTTAAGGCGCATTACTAAAGGAACATTTATTTTTTGTGCAAACATGGTGAAAGATGGCACTTTAAAGTCACTACCTCAAGTGGGTGCTAATCATACTTACAGAGCATGCTTAAACATGTGGAACATGTGAACCCCTGTAGCTCAGTGGTTAGTGGTAAGAGACCTGGGTTAGCATCCGTCAGGGCGAAATGTTGGGCAAGGTTCCTTACTCCACACGCCTCTGTATACCTAGCAGTAAGTAGGAACCCGGTTGTTAGTCAATTGGCGGATCGCTTTTACCTGATAACTATTCCATTTGTCTTCTCTTCAACAAATATTTTGCAGTAATGATAAATGGCAGCCTCGGTAGCATTTACAAGTTACAATTGTATCCTTTTAAATTCTTAAAGAGCAATGTCCTTGCTTTACCCTAAATGAAGAGGCCATTGTGTCCATCGTTGTTTAAATGTTAAAAGTATATATCTTTTCTTAACCACCAACATTAAATCACCTGAACACACTCTGCCAACATTGACTCTTTCTAACAGTCTATAATATGTACATACATATTATCTCAGCTTGGTTTGGATACTCGTAAGCATGTGTCAGACACCCGGCTGACCAAAAAATAAAATAATCTATAAATAAATAATAATTATAATAACACTTTAATTTGATATAGCTCCTTATCACGTTGTTGAGACGTCTCAACGTGCTTCACAGTATATATCATAACATGGATTGACTGTGTATTTTGTGATTTATTAATAGTAATATCATCTAAAATATAATATACGTTTAGCATTTTTAAATTAAAAGCCAAATTTTTAATTGGAAAATTAGTTGGTGTGATTGCTTCCTTCCTTATTTTGTTGAGACTGAAGAACGATTTTCTGATAGCTTTATTATTTGTTGGCCTGGGTTAGTCTGATCTTGATCCTTTGCTTCCTACATAACCAATGCGTTCTCCTGAAAAAGCTCAGAGGTAGTGAAACTGGGTATAGCTGAAGTGTGTCGTAGATAATAGGAAGTACAGACAATTGTAAATTGGTGCCATGTGTTTGATGTCTCAAAGTGCTTCACGGCATTTAGTGTAAGGTGTAGTGACTGTGTTTTGTAAGCAAACGTGGTATCTAAAGAGCTATGCAAACACATCATCAAAACTCTCTTTTAGTGATTTGCTAAGAATTCTTTTTTAAATGAAAGAAGAACGACCCATAGATTGTCGGTTACATCATAAAGAAAGTCATTGAAACTATCAGAAAGTGAAAATCAAAAGAAATTGAACCTGAAAAGATTACTTGTATTAAATATGCTTTTCTTTACCTCTTTAAAGATGCTGGGATTTAAACGTAGGCAATTATAACTGGATTTATCAAACACCAATTCTTTTGGCTATTGTGGTAAGTCTTTCCTGAATTGATTGAGGAAGGGGGAATTGTGTGAGATTAGCAATGCTTTCAATAATTGAAAAGAGAAGGTTGTGTGAAATCCAAAATTGTGTGAAAGAGATTTCTAACTCGTTACAGAACTCATCTCACCTTTTCACTCATTTTCAGGTCAATTTCATGCTGTTTGTAAACATCGTTCGAGTTCTGGCTACTAAGCTACGCGAGACAAATGCCGGGCGATATGATACTAGGAAACAGTACAGGTAACAGAACTGAATATCCTTAACTTGGAACAATAAGCGCGAGAATCTCAGCATGCCCACAAAGAATGCAATGTCTATTTTGTTCCGTTGTGAACAATATGGTGGCATTGTAGCAAAATATCTTCACAGTAATTAAAATACATTTTACAATCATATAGCACCTTTCACATCAAAAATATTAAGATATGCCACTTAACTTGCCTTTTTGGTGTGCAATAGTTAAAAAAGACCTTTTAAATTGTTTAACTTGAATCAGAAGATAAAACTTGAACAATATCTAGATTTTGGGATGAAGTTTCTCTGTACGTAACAGGGCCTCATTGCTCGCCCTGATAGAAACACAGACTCATATCATATTCGTATCCTTGTGTGATACAATCCATCTTGTTGGACTGTATTATTGGCTGACAAGTATCATCAAAAAAACATTCAAAAGTAGAGCAATTACAGGGCTGTTCTTTTCTCTTGAAGGAAACTGGCAAAATCCACCCTGGTTCTTGTGTTTGTGTTTGGAGTGCACTACATTGTGTTTGTAGGCATACCTCATACCTTCACTGGGCTGGCGTGGGAAATCCGCATGCACTTTGAACTTTTCTTCAATTCCTTTCAGGTAAGATTTTTTTCCTTGTAATCCTCAATTAAAACTTGCAGGGTTCTCCATTAGCTTCGTGGGCGAAATGCAGTTGCCTCAGGTTGTGACACAAAGACCCAGGAAGGTTTGAAATTTATCTCCTTGTTTGTAACAAGCCAGTTGATCATTTTCACACAGAAGGTAAATGGACAGCTAGATTGGGTCACCAGGAAGGGTTGTGGTGGCCAGGTCACTGGATTCATTTAAGAAATGTCTACCTGTTCTAATGGGAAGATGGTAGGGGTTCATTCTGCTAGAAGGAATTAAATGGGGGTGGGTGGGAATGTAGAGCCTTCTTTGTCTTAATTGAATCAGGCTTTGCTGCAAGAGAGTCCACCGGGCTTTCCTCTGATCAAAGCATTTATCATTGCCTGAGCCTGGACAGGCATTCATTCCGATGCCTGTTTAATGCCTGTTCAGGCTCAGGCAATGATAAACGCTTTGATCAGAGGGAAGAAGTGATCTGGTAATAAATAGTCAGCACATTGCCCAGAACAAATGTAAATCAGCCAGGTTCAGAAATGTTGAGATCATTTGCGGCTCAATTCCTAGTACATTTTGTTCCAATTTGTTACCTTTGTGTTACACTGTGATCGACGCTGTGGATTTTTTTTTGCTGAGCTGACCGGATTTTAACATTCTGAATCCTTATGGGCACTTCTGCTCTTTGCAGGGATTTTTTGTTGCGGTCATATACTGTTTCTGCAACGGAGAGGTAAGATGATCTCATTCTATTCTTCAAAAAGTATAGATCTCAGGATTGAAGTGCTCGTATTGTACCCAACAAGTTTTTTTTCCCCCATTAACATAAAGGAAAATAGTGCAGCCCTATCCTTCAATTGATTGTGCTATTGATTTTCTGCCCATTTGGATTTAATGCCTAGAGAACTCATGGCCTGACTTGGTTGAGTTAGGCTCCTTTCTCCTCTTGTTGCTAGTTTTAGTTTTTAACCTGGCTCGTTCTGCTCCTCATATTGTGATACTTGTTTCAATTCAGACCACGTTTCATACTGTCAGCAAAATGGGGGGAATCAATTCTGCAGTTGTAAAATATAACTTCAGTATCGATCCCGTCTCTGTTGGGAACTATTCTGCCTTTGCCATCTGAACAAAGTGGCTCAAACTCACAAACCACCATGTGGGATTGGACAGTCACATATAGCTGTTGCCTCTGCATTCTCTCTTGAAAGTTCCTCGGGAGTGAATAAAATACTCATCAGGGAAGGTCAGGTCTTCCAGGCCCTGGTTTAATTCCTTTATTCCATTTCCTTTCACCTCATGCCTCTCCCATCCTCTCTTTATGTTGAACTATATCTCCATCTCCAAAATCTCACAAAGGGGACACCCATCGTACCAATTTGGCCAAGTGGGACCACTGGTGCCAGAAGTTCTGGGACAAAACATTGTGCAGCAGTGTACCTTGTATCACAGCCAAACCCAACGGACATGCTGCACGGTGACATACACATTTGACTCCTGTTCCTGTCGCTCTCCCTCCCTCTTCCCCACGCCCACCCCCCGTCCCAGTCACATATTTTGTGCAGGGCACGTAATGTTATAGAGGAGAGGAACATGGTTTAGAATAAGCATTGGGATATTTGACAACTGAGAAGAATAAAACCTGGGACATGGGCTAGAGAGAGAGTATGAATAAGCAAATGTTGAAACAAAATCAGATTGGAGAGGAGGTCACGCATCATTAAGGCAAGCCTGAGATTAGTGGCTGCCAGAATCACGTAGATTACATAGGAGTATAATAAACACCACTGTCTAACCGTGCAAATAAAGAATTAAAGACAACTGGAAGCGAGTGCCCTTTTGGAAACCCTGCCAAACCAGCATCATTTATCCATTATAATGCAAAATAGGCTTTTATATTTGTAATCACACTTAAAGGGCACACAGCCTNAAAAAAAACTCAGTGCAAACCATTTCCTTTGTAACATTTCTAGTCTGCACTTAAAGATGATCTGATGAATTTCACAGTGTGGCGAGAGGAAAAGCAAGGATTTGTCACAGTTTGGGAGTGATGAACAGATGATCTGACTTGATGCAATTTGCCCACTGCAGGTTCAGACAGAGATTAAAAAGACGTGGACAAGGTGGAGCCTTTCCATGGACTGGAACGGGAAGACCAGCTGTGGGAGTTACCGCTATGCCTCGGTGTTGACCAACATGACTAACAGCAGCACAAGCCAGGCACAGGGAAATGGGCGAATGCCATTGATGCCGCGCAAAACATTTAAAAACGGGGCGAAGAAAGAAAGTGGCCACTTAATATTACCCGGGTACGTGAGGAGCAACTCTGACCCAGACAGTTTACCACCGTCCATTCCCGAAGAGAACAAAAGTGAAGTCAACGCAGTCGATGTCATTTACCTGAAAGAATCCTCGGGACCCACGCTTGAGGAAAACATAGAAGAGCATGAAGACACAGTGTAAAACAAGTCTGAGACTTATAACGCAGATCAGTCTTTTTGCTGTGGCGCGTTAAGACGTTAAATTTGCAATGGTTGAGGATCTCTTTTTCGGCAAATTGCAAGACTCCTTGGTGAGAAGCAGCTTTACTTTAATGTCAATGTTAATCGCCGCTGATATTTGCTTCCCACGTTGAGCTGTGTTGCTCATCAGTCCTTGTGCCAAACGGATTTCAAAAATTTCCAGTCGATACGGCATCATGTTGTCTTTAAAAGTCACTGACAGAAACAGTAAATACGTATGAGACAAAACGGATATTCATTACCCCGGAGGAGGAAATAGATTTGGTGTGGTTATTGAGTATTTATGGAGGGTTCCCTGTCAACCAGCTTAAAAATAATCAAATAATAAGGAAGTGCATTTGACCAATGTGTGTTGAGATGGGAAAAGATGTCAGTCTCAAGAAGGCTGATGTGAATGAGAAGCGAATTTGTTACTAACTTGAAATGCTTTACGGAGGCTAGAACTCCTCTAGCCCCTGCACTGTCACGTGTGGCATCCCTCAGTACTCTGTCCTTAGTCCTCTCCTCTTCGATCTACGCATTCTCCCGCTCGGTGATGTCATCCGCGTGCATGGAGTTAACTTCCACATGTACGCGGATGGCAACCAAGTCTTATCTCGCCGTCTCCAACCTCGGCTCCAGGACCGTTGATGTCCTGGCTGACATCCAAGTCCTGGATGAGAGCCAACTTCCTCCAGCTCAATGATGGCAAGACAGAGGCCCTCCTGCTTGACGCCCAGCAACGCCTCCTCACCAATACGAAACCTTGATGTCCTTTTCGACCCTTAGCTGTCCTTCATCCTCCACATTTGTGCCATGACCCGTTCTGCCTTTCCACACCTCAGCAACATTGCCCGCCTCCGCCACTGCCTCTCACTGCAGGCCACCGAGATCCCGATTCACGCTTTCATTACATCCTGGCTTGACTACACCAACTGCCTGCTCGCTGGCCTGCCCAATTCTTCCTTCTATAAGCTGCAATTATTCAGAACTTTGCAACTCATGTCCTCTCCTGCACCAGGCTCCACGAACCAATCACCCCCATTCTTGCCCGGCTTCACTGGCTCCCTCAGAGAATTGTGTATAAATCCCTCGTTCTCACCTTCAGAGTGCTCAATGGTCTTGCTTCCCCCACCTCTCTGACTTCCTAACCCCATATCAGCCTGTCCACTCCCCACGCTCACCGTCCTGCTTCAGGTTCCACGAGCCAATCACCCACATTCTTGCCTAGCTTCACTGGCTCCCCTTCTCTCAGAGAATAATGTATAAAACCCTCATTCTCACCTTCAAAGCGCTCCATGGTCTTCCCGCCCCACCATTGGCAGTCATGCATTCAGCATCTCTGCCCCCACACTCTGGGACTCTATCCCACAATCCCTCCACCTCACCCCCTCTCTTGCCTTCTTCAAGTCCCGTCTAAAGACCTTCCTCTTTGACCATGCCTTTGGCCACCCTCCCACCCCCACCGTCCTAACTCCCAACTCGGGTCCAAAAACCCTTGTGTCCAGTGCCCTCGGACGTCTTTCCGATGTGGAGGGAGGTATACTAGTGTAATGTATTGTTGTTGTTTACATAACGAGTTAATATTATCCTATATGGGTCACGAATAAGATCACCCTTATGCGTGTTGGGATTCCCTCTCCCTTCAAAGTGGCCTTTAAAGTGTTGGAATTGTAGGGGTGGGACAGGAAGGAAGTGAGTTTCAAATTGTGGAAGATGTGGGGATGGGAATTATTTTAATATCTGCCTGTCCAGGGGATGTTAAACAACCCATGACATTATTCAAAAGGAGAAAGGTATTTCAGCCAGGTGTCCTGTGTCCATCAATCCTCAAGTTAAATTAGTCATTCACTACCTGGCTGTTTGTGGGACAATAATTTTTGTGGCACAATGATAGCTAATTGGGTGCCTCGTTCACGTACAAAAACATAGTCACTACACTTTACATAAAAAGATCTGATAAAGGGCGGTTTCAAATGCAAGTATAATTATTTATGCTCAAGTTGGTTCATGAATTTAATTGTTTAATTTAATTTAATTGAATTTTTTTTACTCCAGAAAACATCAGCCAGAGCATTAAAAAGTACTTATTAAAAGTAATATTCCATTTAAAAATAAATTTAATTTTGTTTCAGAAAAAAGACTGTTCCATGCACAATAAGCAATGTGCAAAGTTTATTCACTGGACCACTTTGTGCATCTGAGAAAACGAATCCAGGACAGCTATTCAGAACGGGCAATTTGAAAGCGATTTTAAAATGGAATAAATAATTCTGTTTAATCTACTGAACCATTTTGTGCCACACAAAACAAGCTTGTAATTTGCATTTGGATGCCGATTAAAAACAAGATACTTGTCTGAGAGTTCTTGGCTAAATGGGTGTTCGCACAACTGATCTTTAAATAAGAAGCTTAGAGTGGGTGAGTGGGACAAAAGAAAATCTCAACAGTGAATTTAAATGATGCATGAAATGAGAGAACAAAGCTCGAGTAGTTTATGTTATCTGAACTCTGAGTTGAAATCAGTAGTGTGTCATCACCTTTTCCCATCCATTATTTATTACACGTGGGAATGTTATTACGAAGGTTAGCTCTGGTCTCTTGCTATGATTTTTTCCCCCCTCCCTTCCCACTCCCTAGATAAACAATCCAGCCTACTCATGTGACATTTTGTTTCACGCTAAATGTTTCGAAATCATTAGTTGAAATCTTAAGAATTCTCTTCTTAGGTCGGGGTTAAAGAATATTGTTGGGGCAGTATTGATGGAGATTCAGTCTTCATCTGCTTTTGCTATACCTGACCTGAGAGTATTCAATGATGGCTCCGGATGTCCAAAGTAGTCGTGTTCCATTCTGTGCTAACATTCATCTTGAGCAGCACTTGATGGCTGTTAATGATCCTTGCATTTGATATAGCACCTTATCACATCTTTGAGATGTCTCAAAGCGCTTCACAGAATATACTGTAAAGTGAATTGACTATATTCTGTGGGCAAAACACGTCAGCAATGTCCCACAAACAGTCTTGCATTGAGTGACCAATTTATTAATTTTTTTGGAAGAGATTATTACCCCTGGAAAAGCAATTGGCCAATCAACTAACAACCAGGTTCCCTACTCACTGCTAGGTAAACAGAGGCATGTGGGGTAAGGAAACTTCCCCACATTTTGCCCTGCTGGGAATCGAACCCAGGTCTCGCTTGCGAGGTGAGTGCTCAAACCACTGAGTTACAGGACTCCACGTAAGTGCTAGTAAGTTATCGCTGTATGCAAATTGGCTGCTGCGATCACTCACAAAATACATAGCATGAGTCAGATCACTTTATATCCTGTGAACATCTATGAGACATCTCAACGGCACTGTATTTGAAGTGCAAAGATTATTTATTGTTTTTATTTAAGTGTGCATAAGATATGGGAAGAGATGTCAAACACTCTCTCAAGAGGCCTACACCAGCATGAGAAGCTTCTTGATAACCAAACGGAAATACAATTACATCATTGAAACGTTCCTATGAAGCATTATCGCATTGTTTAGGGTTCAGGAATTCAGAAAATGAAGTGAAAGATTGGGGCGTGTGGTTCTACAACCATTAGAGGTCTAATTTCAAATATAATCACAAGTCCTACAGTAAAACTGCATCAAATATTCTTAGGAGAAGGAGGGGAGAATACAGCCCTTCAACCAGCTGATGAAATTATTGTCAGTTAGTTAGTTGATGGTGCCTTTTTAAAAGAAACTTTTTACTGATAAATGATTTTCAAAAAAACAAACGCATTTTTTGCGACTAATTAAAAGCCATAATGCCTCAAGTCAAGCAATTCATTTTCTGCATTATCTGAAATGATGAATTCTGATTGATAACTTCAAGCTACTTAAAATTTGATTGTTTGCATTACAATATTATATGACTTGCCAGTTATTTGCTTTTATTGTATTTTGTTACTGTTCTCTATAAAAATAAATAATCCTTCACATCACTTCCTTGGGTAAAAGAGTTAAAAATAATGGTTCACACACATGTCTGAGTCCTTGAGAACTTCCAAAACCACTTTGTCTCTCCCCACATCAAAACCTCCTAAAACATACTTGTTAGACTGTGCCTTTGATTAATATCTTTATATTTCCCTCTAATTTCTCTGCATGGAGTCCACCATCAGATTTGTCAAGCGTGTAATAATAATAATATGATGTTGTATTTGATGCTGCATCTTTCATGCAAGGAGGACATCTCAAAATGCTTCACAGGATTGTCTTGTGAAGTGAAGCGATTATTATACTGTAGTTTCAGTGTTTTGGGACATCCTCCTGACATGAAAGACACAATTTGTTGTTGTATTTTGTAGAAGACTGTGGCAGCCAGTTTGCACCTAGCAATATCCTACCACAGCCATGGAGGGACGGATCAATTTTATTTGAGGGTTGTTGGCCAGGACATGGGAAGAAACTTTAACGTCCACCTGAACAGGCACTTGGAACCTCGGTTTACAACAACAACAACTTGCACTTGTATAGCACCCTCCACGCAGGGTAGGGTCTCAGAGTGCTTAACAGTGGTGGAGCCTGACTCTTTACTATCTCATCTGAAGGATGGCACCTCCGACAATTCAGTGCTCTCCCAGAACTGCACAGTAGTGCCAGCCTAAGCAATGTGAGTGCAATGACCCAAGGTGTGACTTGAACCCACAACTCAGTTGGTAGCATTCTGACTTAGAAGCAAAAATGCTACCAACTGAGCCAGGCTTTTTTATGTAACACGTGTTAAGAGGAGATTTGTAATAGATTTCCATACTGGTATTTCTTCTCTTCTGCCCTCACTATGAGAATAGAACTGATGAGCAAATAGTTGCAGCCCGGGGTAGCAAAAAACAAGTCATTCAGCTTCACTCAGTTTCAGAATTTAAAATAATTTCCATGATTTTTTTTTGAGATAAAAAATTTGTCTTCTGCACACTTTGATA